TAAGGGAGGGCAGAGGCAGGGCAAGGAAGCAGGACGACATCCACAGGTGTGCAGGGAAATCCGGGAGCAGATTTCCTGCCCTTTCTCTCGGGAGCAGCAGCCACTTTCTGCTCTCAGCTTAGCATTGACATTTCTGTTCTGATTTCTCACAGATCGTGTTTGAGGGATTCATACGCAACGGCCACTCAGGAGAGCTTGCCCTTGATGACATCCGGCTGGGCACCGACATCCCGCTGGAGAACTGCATGGGTACGTGCCGCATCCGGCTGCGGGGGCCAGAGGTAGCAGTGCGGGGAAGACAGCTGGGGCTGGAGAGCCTTCGCTCGCAGGCTGCTATTGGGACGTTTCTCCACTGCTACAGTTACCAAGAGTTTCTGGATCTCAACTGGGGCTTTCCTCGCCCATGAAAGAAATGAGGGGAACGTGGTCTCTGGGGAACAGGGCCTCTGGCTGCGTTTGTGTCAGAGACGGGAAGCTCATGGCTCTGCCATGCAAAGCTGAAAGAGCAGCTGAGGGTTACCGAGGACTTTTCTATGTGATAAGGACGTACACCAAATTTAAAAGGAAAGCGCTGGACAAAAGAAACCAGCTGTCAGTCAGTATTACACGCTTAGAGGGGCCGATGAGTTCAAAAGGAGTCTTCTCTAATAAGAAGTAAAATAGCCCACAGGTTTTACAGCAATGTTAACAGAATAACAAAAGAAATTTTTGTCCTAGAATTCACCATTTCCCAAACCAGGCCAAAAGCCAGGTGGATCCATTCAGTGTGAAAAGACAGAGAGGACTTAAAGAAAAAAAAAGAGAGAGAGAAAAAAGTGTGTTTTAGCAGTTTGCTGGTGGAGCTGTTGGCCTGCCCTGTTCCTCTAGCTGGCATATCCAGGGACACACTCTGCTGGCTCTTGTCACCATCTAGCTTGGATGTGGATTTAGAGCCATCCCAGCTGAGCATGGGACCAGCAGTATTCAGTTAGTGGTATCTGCATTGTGAGCTGCTTGCGGTAGCAAGGCTCCGCTCTTTTACTGACCCGGAGGAGACAAGTTTCGCTGTTAAACACGCTCAAAGTGTCTGACCCATCTTGAAGTCAGTGGAAAAAGTCGAGTGGAGCAGAGCCCCTTTGGGCCTTGAAAGGCCTTATTCAGCGAAGCTGCTCTCCTGTGCACCACCAAGGGAGGATCCCAGTCCTTCCTAACCCAGGTGGTAAACATGCTGTCTTCTGAGGGGTATATCTCAGGGGAGGAGGCACGGGATGAATTGTGCCTGGGAAGGGCTGGTCACATTGCTTGCCACCCTATGCAGACAGGTAATGGTGAACATGGTGCAGGTACCAGCATTAATAATAGAACAGAGGACCTGGACTGCCCCAGAGATGCTCCTGAGTGCCATCAGTTCCAGTTTCTTTGATGCTTTGAACTCTGCTGGTCTCCCATCTGCTAAAGGAGCTAATACTCCACATCTCAAATTCCCTGCATTTAAGACTTGACAGTGGTGTTTTAATCCCTTGCCTTCTATGGCATTAAAGAGAAGCAGGGCTGATGATTAACACTAATAGCATTTCCTATCCAACTTCTTTTGAGCTCAGCAATTCACCTAGCTCCAGTGTTACTGTATCTTGGGCCTCGTGAACCTAAAGCTTAGTATTTCAAAACAAAAGCATTAACACATATAAAGTTTCAAGCATTGCCAGCCCTAAAAATAACACCAAATTGCTACACAAAATTATTTGTCACATTCTAGGAAGCTGAATGGGAATCTTAAAACCGATAAGGTTAGTTGTTTCAGATAATTTCTATCAAAAGTCTCCCATTGTAAAATTTAAAATAACTCATGGGTCATTTCCGATGTCACCAAAATAATAAAGAAATGGTAGAGATACAGCGGTGCTCTCTCTCTGACAGAGCCATGAAAATAGCTGACTCCAGCACAGGCTACTGTTTTTTCAAATGTAATCCTGGGAAGTAATCTGATTCCTTTTTAGCGTGAAAGAACGCTAATAAGTCACAGTAATTTTTTCCTTTGACAAATGTGTCATTCGCATTCTGAACTTGAGTGATGATTTCATAGCACTCAGTAGAGCCAGAGTCTGCTTCTGTGACTCACAGGCATAATGCAGAAGTAATCTAAAAATAATCAGAAGTCTATTACTTCTGTGAGAAAGTAATCAGTAGTAAGTACCGATTATTGCTTTTCAGATCCAGTAATTTGTAATAGATTACTTCTTCAAAGTATCTTGAAAGAAGAAAAAAATCACTTGCCTTTGTTTCTTGGCACTGTGTGATGGAGAGGAGCATGGCATTGATGCCCAGAAGTCACACAGTTCCCTTGGGAGTAATGATGCCAGAGTTGAGCCAGAAACCACACCGCTCTTGA